ATTAAATGAAGATTAACTTTAAATATTTGATTTTTACCTTTAAATTTAAATTAAATGGATGATTGCTTTTAAGTATTTACTTTTTGGTAATGAATACTTACTTAAAAATATTTATTTACAACTAAAATTCATAGACAAATACATTTCTGGTTAGTCTATTTTATTTGCATTATCCTAATATTTAATATTTAATTAATATTTACTTTAGCATTTACTTACTTTTATCCTCATCTTTATTGTCATATTCATGATGTTTCGGCTGTTCTATGCGCTAGCCTTCTTCAGGTGATACATGTTGAAATTTCAAACTGAACACTTTATTTCACCCACTAGTGTAGATTGTTCTTGTTCCATGGGCCATGCTTTTTCTGGATATCTCAGTTTCAGTTATTTTCCTTTAGTAACTCAAATCTCCAAGTTTTTGTTCATTTCTGCTGTGGCCAGGTATTGAACTCACAACTCTTTGGGTCAAGTCACTAGATTATTTCAACCAATGCTTTTATCCATGGGACCATGTGTCCTTGCAGGCATGGCACATGGAACTAGAACAATCTACCCCCGTGGAATAAATAAAAGTTTTGGTTCAAAATTCCAACATACATCACCTGAAGAAGGCCAAAGTGTGCAACTGCTGAAACATCATGAACATGACAATAAAGATGAGGACAATAGTCCAAACAATGTAAATAGTGTTAATAGTTACAATGCTTCCTATGAGAAATATAGATATTTAAAAAACTATTTATTTACAATTAAAATTCATAGAATAATTTAAGCACCAATGATAGTTAACTGTCAATTATCTATATTTTCAAAACAATTGTGATATTTTAGGACACAAAGTATAAATTTGTTGAAAGAAAGGAGCCTTTTTTGGGAGTTCAGACAAGTTGTTTTAATTTAAGAAAAAATTTATATAAACAAATTATAACTAGAAATAAAAACTCAAAATCTATTGATCTTCTTCTAACAAGTTTAATCCAGTTTGTGATATCTGGATTAAGTTTGTGGATAGAACAGGTTTTATATTAAACTGGTATCAGTGATTTCACATTTTAAACTGTTTCAGTTTGGAAACATCTTATTTCTTTGTTTTATCTCCATAGATTCTCTCTTTCATTATTGCTGGTCCTCTTAGATGAGTGTAGTCCATCACTTCAGATTTTAACTAACGTAGGACACTAGCTTTATATAAGTTAATAAAGTACAAAGTTGGATGCCACTGATGACCAAATGTTATTCAATATTTCTAGAATGAACAAAGATCTGTCTGCCATATAAATCATGTGCTTTCTAAACAAATAATGTTTCTACAAGGAAGCTATAATATTGCTTTCAATAAATAGACTCATATATGTCTGTGTTTTTTATTTACATGTTGGAAACTGTTCATATGATGGAATAATGTTTCATAAAATATGGATTCAGTAATCCTATTTAAAAGAAAACAGTAAAATTGATAAGATTATATGCTTCTCAATTACAAATACTTGTGACAATTTTTTTTATCTGAAAATTTAATAGGTTTATTTTGAAAATAAAATGTATCAGTTTGAACTATAAAAGTAATTCCATCTTATTATTTCTAGTGTAGTAGTAGACAATGTTCAATAAATAAAATATTTCTAAAATCTCTTAAACGTTATCATCTCCTTAACACCTGCATTTTTAAGGAATGGTTAATCATTTAACTTTGGTTCTGAATCCAAATACTGGGATAAGAAAACAAAAGATCAAAGACCCTGTACCAAAGTGAAGGACAATTCTATACCAACTCACCACACTTTTCAACGACTTTCCATCTCAATATAAAACTAGGTAGAGAGGGCTTCAAGGTTAGTTCTCTCTACCATTTCACCAGAAACTAGTACAGGTGAATCCATTACTCTATCAAAGAAATTATCTGGATGACTGCCTACTACAGAAAAATTGGGGCTTTTTTCACTCTTGCTCTCTCTCTGTTCCAGTGTATCACAAGTTACAATAAATAAAATTTCCAAAATGTTTGCTCAGTGTTCATTCATTTTGAAAATCAACAATCTGCACTAACCTCCACACTGGTTTTGCAAGTATGTTATATCAAATTTTATTCTTCAAATCATTGTATACACAACAGAATTGGAACTAATAAGCTCATATTAGTAAATTTTTCCTGATACAGTACTTGCTTGATTATCCATATCTCGATTTTCTGGAATTCAATTATCTGGATGTGTAATGAAGAGAAAAATTGAAATCATCTGAATATTTTTCAATTATCCGAATTAAGGCCATTCTAACATTTCGTATTGGACAAGTGTTTTAAGAATTTAAAAGAATCATACTCAACATTTGATAAAAACATTGATAAAATCAGTGCAATTAATTCCTGTTAATTTATTCATTCCTTTTATACAAAGAACATACATTTGAATCATCACAGTAGCCAGGATATTCCCAAACTTATTATTGCACCAAAAAATGTTGACGAGAAGGAGGATGATAAGAATACTGGGAATGTTGAAGATCAACAGACCCAAGTTTCAAACACTGAAGTAATAAGAGCCAGTGCAAAGGTCTCATGCAACCCTTCTGAATCTATGATATGGAGCACTTTACTACATCTCAATTTTCAGAAGATAGTATTCATATAAAAGATAAATTTTATTGTAATCTAATTATGTATAATAATGGATCATATGCAATATAGGCGAACAATTCAACTCAAAAAATTGGAAATAAATACGATGTATCTGAATACAAATTAGAGTCATGTCATAATAGATCATTCCATGTTAAATAAATCAACAATGTTTTGTGGCAAGTTTTAACATCAACTTAAGATTTTTCTTGTTGAATAATTTATCACATTTGACATTATGGATAAAAAATAGTGAATTTTATAAAGTGTTTTTTCAAATTCATGGATTTGGATGAGAAAATAAAAGACCCTGAAATGACGATAAAATCTGCAAAAATTTGTTATCCTTTAATAGTTAATTGTGCTTAGTTTAATTTGTACATAAACCTAGGTAGAAAAAAAGTGAATGTTGATAAGATAACAAGGTCCAGGGCCTCCAACCAGGTTTCGCCACTGGTCAGGGGTTCAAGGGTTGTATACACCAGCCCTGGAAGTAATGATTAAGGTTTAAAAAATGATAAAGCTGGTTACATTTTCAGCTAGAAGTTACTCTTACAAATACATGATTTATGATTTGTGTTTTATGGTTATCAACCCATTGCAGGTTATTTAAAGTCAGGAAATATTTTTTTAGTTTGCATTTTTTTTTTTTTAGATAATAATGGTTTAGGATATTAATCTTACTAATTAACCCATAGCTGGGGGAGAAAAGGAGAGTATTCATATCTTTCTCAAGGATTTTTGCACATAAGTAAAACTTGCTTCTCCAATTAAGCACCTGGTATTCCCAAATGGTCACCCATTTAGGTATTGACCATACTCAACATTGCTTTACTTCATCTACTTTATATATTTAGATATCATTTCAAGTAGAATCTACAACTGATGGAAAATTTAATAACTGTTATTATAAGCATAAATTTTTCTTTCGGTGTCAGTATGAATTTCGTCAAAATTTGTTGGAATGACTTAACAGTTCACCATGAACATATGCACCATCTAAATTTCAAGGACAGTATTAGATTACATAATGAATCATATGAAAGCAAATCTTGTGTATACATATTTAGATATAGATGATCATGGTTCTCTACAGCTTCCTTTTTCTTAAATATATGTAAACTGTGTATTGACATGATTGCCCTTGGCAGATAATGTAGAGATTTGCCATTGCTTTCTTTCTTCATGATTTTTAATTCTGAGATCTCTCTGTCTCTTGGAGTGGTCATTAAGCCGAAAGAGTCTAGTCTTCTCTATTATTTAACCCATGGTTTGGATGTGGCACAAAAAGGGTACTTCCAAGGGTATTAGTACAAAGGGAATGTAATAGCTTTTGTTGGAATTTGAACTAGGCCTGCTGAATTCATTTTCTAAGCAGATTATACTCCCTGCATTTCATTATATTTACTACTGTTTCTTCTTTCTTTATGCGCCATATCCCTTCAGGACGTAGACGATCATTGCCCTCCAGATCTTCTTGCCCCTTGTAGCTCTTAATAAGTTTTGTCTTTTTATTTATCCCAAACCCTGTTCTACCAGCCATTTACTCATGCCCATCAAGTATGTTACATGCTGCTTTCCTCTGTCCCTCAATCTGTCCTGTGAGTATCAGATTTTCCAAACCTCCTTCTTCATTACATGCTCCAGAAATTTCAATTGCCACTTCCTGATGTTAAGTGTAAGTTTCCTTTTTGTTTCTATTTTCTCTAAAACGTCATCGTTGCTCACATATTTGGTCCATATTATCCTCAGCATCCTTCTGTATAACAACATTTCTGTTGCTTCAAGTCTCTTCTTGATTTTTGAAAAGATTGTCCAAAAGGAAATTCTCTAAAACCTCATTGTTGCTAACATATTCGGTTCATGGTATCCTCAGCATCTTTCTGTAGAAGCACATTTCTGTTGATTTCAAGTCTATTTTTGATCTTTGAGGAGATTGTCCAGAATTCACTGCCATGAAAGAGGACATATATCATGTAACAGTTCAGCACTCTTCATTTCTAACAAGTTTTTCTGTCTCTTAATACTCTGCTTAGCTTTCAGAATGTATCTTTAGCCATCCCAATGTGTCTTCAGTGTCACTGTTTAGATTTCCCTTTTGAAAATGAAGAAATAGAAGACAAATGCTGTTAAGTTCATCTTTAATTGATATGCATATTTAAGTGGGTTTGTGTAACTATATTTAACAGTTTATCAGGTTAGTAGCTGTGTTAATTTCTATCTCCTTTCAGGTAAGTTTTAGAAGTCTCTAAGGGTGATTTTCATATTGAATGAAAACACATCTCGCTTGTGCAACCAGTAATCCAATGTCTGTATGAAATGAACTGCACACTATGAACAACAAAGACCAACATAAATTATGGAAGCCACAAAAACTTACCTTGAAGAGCTGATAAGCCATTTTCATTTTCAATTATGATGTCTCCCCACTTCACAGACACAGATACATTGAAGATGGGCTTTTTATCATTAAAGTTTATCTGGCGCTGGAAAGAAAAGAAAATTATTATTTTTTAATTCGATGAATAAAATTTATCAATTTTAAGATAAGCTCAAAATATATTTTTAGTAGACATACTAGAAAAATATCCAACACTGATCAGAAACTTGAATCATTGTAAAGAGGCTATTGTCAACATTATAATATGTACTGTCATAACCCTTGTCAAATGTTGAATAAATAGGATAATGTATTACAGCAGTGTTTTTTCAACTGGTGTTCCCCGGAACTTTGGGGCTCTGTAATAGGTTGATAGGGGTTCTTTGAGAAATAGTGATAAATAGGCTAATGTATTTTTGAGTAATTTTTGTTTAAGTTTATATTTGTAATTTTACTATACACATACAGCATATTGTTGGAAAATCCTTGGTTATTATAATAAAGTCATTTAATAATTTAAAAATTCAGCCTCCCCTCTCCTTCATGAGCATGTGTAATCAATGTAGACATCACTTTAATCTGATGAAGTCCTGAAGGATGAAATGTGCCACCCATTTTGCACACTTTGTCATAGATTTTCTTAAAATATTATATATATATATATATATGCGTGTGTGTGTGTGTGTGTATTATATTCTGATCACAAAATATTGGTTGATATGTCATGGTGGTGACTTCTTGATAATATCAATCTTGGAGATGATCCAAGTATGTAGCACTGTTATGAAGCATCTGAAAATCATGCTGCTGTTTGACCCAGGCCATGTGATGGAAACTGGGTAGACAGAACTGTTAGGAAGCAGTCAATGATTTTTGCCAGTACAAAATCAGAAATCATGATTGAAGAATTGATCATACTAGCCTTGTTCAAATATTGATCTTGCTAATTGTTCTCTCTCCCTCTCTCTCAGATCTGCTCAGCATAGTTGCAGTATATTTCACAAAATGCTTCTATGGGTGTTGAAGAAACACAAATGTGTCAAAATGGGCAGAGATTACCTAGCTGCTTGTTTGTTTAGAGGCATATCAACATCCTTATGGGTCATTTAATGCCAAAATTTAATTTTCTTAAGAGCATTAGTAATTTCTTTTACAAAATGTATTGCTGGTATTTTTTTTACTATAGAAATGTATTGCTGGTATTTTTATAATTTCATAGTATTTTGACCCCAGTTTGGGTATAAACTATTTGCCCATAGTTGGGACCCAAACAGGTGCTACCATCCCAGGATAGGGTGGATCTTGGAACAACAGCAATTAAGAGGTAGTTCCATGATCCACAAAACCTTCCAATCTGAGACCTGCTGCCAGATGTAGTTTATTGCTATACCCAGAACGTGATTAGCTAGCTATCCTAGCAGATGGACAAACTTGGAAACAAACCATTCTATCTAGGATCTATGATAAAAATATAGTTTTCAACTATGCTACATTTATGGGTAAAAGTGCTCAATATCAGTGATATGGCATATGCAAATGTAAATGTTAATGCTGAGGTCAACATCAAGTGGTGGTAGTCTGTTTTATGCTTTATTGCAATCTTCAGCATATTGTCTGAAGATTTCATTTAAACTTTAAACAGACTGTCATTGCTTGGTATTGACCTCAGTCTCCACTTTATATATATATATATATATATATATATATACATACATATGAGTTGGGATAAAAAAATAGAGCAAATATGAGCTAAAATCAGGCAGAATGGTAAGAAATAACTAATAGGAAACATTTATCAATCTAACATGTTTCTCTGATGAAGCTTTAATAAAAAAAAAAGTGAAACATGTTAAATAGAGAACAAATAGGAAATATTTATCAATCTTATATATATATATATATATATATATATATATATATATATATATATATATATATATATGTTTCTGGTGTAACAGCAAAATTGTACAAATCATGTAACAGCATAATTGTCCAGCCCACAAAATGTTTAATATATAAAAAAAAACACTAAACTAATTGAGTTTCTTTTTTTCAGTTTTTCAGATAAGATATTTAGTCACCTTGACACCATTTGTCATAAGAATCACTGAAAAACTGAGTTATTCAGACAACAGGTTATAGTTGTTTTGTTTCAGTGCCACTGCCTTCTCAACTAAGCAATAGCCAGAGGAAAGAGATAATCCAGGCCTTCAGCAATTGTACCAACATTCATACTCTGACTTCAATCTTAAAGTTCATTCAAGAACCATCAAGAGAATAGTGAATAAGTTTAAAAAAAGGAGGTCACAACAGGAAACGGGAACATTATTTCAATTTAGAGCTAAAGAAATCAATTAGAAAAGATCCAACTCAATTCAAAGGGCGTTTGGCTCATGAGGGAAGAGTTTCAGCTATAACAGTCCAAAGAGCAGTGAAAAAAGGCTTGAAAACAAAATTGTATATGAAAGTTGTGAGGCAGCTAGTTACTTCAAGTTAGAAAATTAGAGAGGGCAAAGATCATCTTGAATAAGTTGAAGGTGATCCTGGAATAATATACATATATATTTGAACTTTATTTAAATCCTTCATGAATTTCCGATCCTTAGCTATGCTTAACTGATGATGAACATATCATTTTTGTTTATGATCGATTTCATCACGATTTTTCTGTTAAGCTTTTAGAGTAATTATACAGTCTTATTGCTGAAAGTAGTATCCAATACTGTTATAAAAACCTCAAAGAATGCCAGTAAGATATCATTAATCATTTTTAAGATACAACAGTTCAAAGCTTAATCTGACAACTGGACAATTTTGGTATTACACCCAGTATATATATATATATATATATATATATAAGGGGTGTTAAAAGACACTCTTAACAAAATCTGACTAAATGACCAAATATCATAATTATTGCAAAGGATTCTTGGGCTCATATATATATATATATATATATATATATATATATATATATATATATATATATATATATAGGGAAAATGTATGACAAAGTGGAAAGTTTTTGTGTGACACATTTTGTCTTTTCATACTACCTCATTGGACTAAATTTGTTATGTGATGTGACTAATTATGCACACAAATAAGGGATGCCAAAAATGTTAAATTAAAATTTTTTTTTTAGTGAAGATCCACCAACATGACAAATTTAGTCTGATGAAGTCCTAAAGGATGAAATACATTGCACAAAAACTTTCTTATAGATTTTTTTCCCCCATATTGTCCGTGATCTATAAAAATGTATATATATATGTCACTATATATTTACTTTTATGTCAAATAGAACTATTTAGTACTCAATGAATTAGTTACACACTGGACATAAAATATAGCCTTGTGTCAGACCAGCCTTTGTACAAGTAAATCAAAAACAGTTTATTAAGTAAAAAAAAAAAAAAACAGCGAAAGAAAATATTTGTTTTTTTCTTCTGATAGCAAAGAATGTTTTCACTTGACTTTTTCAACTAAGACTTTATATTTTGATATTAAATTTATTGGCTTGGCTGATGTAAGTATTAATGCTTTTGTTTTGTTTTTTTTCTCAGATGCCGACTCCAATGGCTTCACCATTCCTCTTCTTTCTCTTCATCTATTCTATATCTGCAGAAAGATTAAATTTTCAAAGATGAGGATATCAGTGTCTAGGGCTTACCATAACAAATTCTCACCATGCTCTTTCTAATAAATTTAGAAACTTAATTATCTCTCAGCTCTTTTGCTCATAAAAAATTCTACCAAAACAAAAATATAACCACAAACCGTAATCAGAAAATTAAATCAAATGATAGGGAAATAGTTTGTGGTGTATTTTTATTATTTATTCAAGCATTTAAATAGTTCATTCAAGTAGGAATTCTGGTTCTTTTAAGAGAACGAGGAATTGCTTTTATGCAGGAAAGAGAGAGAGAGAGAGAGAGAGAGAGAGAGAGAGGATGTATTGACTGTGGAAGCTTGTTCAAAAAAGCCAGGATCAAACATTGCAAAAATAATCACCTATTTGACCCTTTGATCATCGATCAAAAAATCAATATTTTGAGATGGTTAAATTACTCCCTGTAGATCAATTAAGAGATTTATAGTTTTCCATTTTATTTTCCTCTCTTTGTTTTTACCAGGTCTTACACTGATAATACGTGTTTCATTATCAAATATTCAATTTCATGTGGATCAATATCTTGCATTGTATTGATGTCATCTGCCAACAGAGAGTCTGCCTGGGGTCTCTGAAAGTGGTGCGGCTCAACTCAGGTTTGTGCTGTTGTTAATTGACTTTAAGCAAATCTCCAACTGTGACAAACACTGAATAGATATTAAAACATTGATTTAGTTTCAGAGTATTTTTATGAAGTTTCATACTGTATAAGCTTTGTTTAAAGCTTCTGACAAAAATAACGTACTTGGTGATATGTAGTACGTTTAATAAAAATAAAATTACTAAGAAATATTCTCATGCAGTTTATATACAAAGAAATATTATTAGTTAAATCATTGTCAGCTATTATTCATTTTGACAAGTATAGCTTTCATCTTATTTCTTTTACTTTTTATTACACTAGTAGTACTAAATGTAATCATAGAACTTCTTCCATGAACCTTTGTCAGTTATTATTCATTTTTTGTATTAGTACTGCTTTCATCTTATTTCTTTTATTTTTTTACTTTTTATTTTTTATTACACTAGTACTAAATATTATTCATTTTGATTAGTATGCTTTCAATCATAGAACTTCTTCCATGAACCTTTGTCAGTTATTATTCATTTTGATTAGTACTGCTTTCATCTTATTTCTTTTACTTTTTATTACACTAGTAGTACTAAATGTAATCATAGAACTTCTTCCATGAACCTTTGTCAGTTATTATTCATTTTGATTAGTACTGCTTTCATCTTATTTCTTTTACTTTTTATTACACTAGTAGTACTAAACCTTTTGTAATTCATTTTGATTAGAACTTCTTTTCCATGAACTAAATGTAATTAGTCAGTTATTATTCATTTTGATTAGTACTGCTTTCATCTTATTTCTTTTACTTTTTATTACACTAGTAGTACTAAATGTAATCATAGAACTTCTTCCATGAACCTTTGTCAGTTATTATTCATTTTGATTAGTACTGCTTTCATCTTATTTCTTCTGATTTTACTACATTTTTAAAGTAAAAAAGAACATATCATGATTGAGAAAGAAGAGGACTATGCTGAGAAAAGAATTTAGAATACTGTTATTTTTTTTTCATTCTAGTTTGCTTTATGTGCTTCTTCCATGTGCCATATTCCATCAGGATGTGAGCGATCACGGCTCTCCACAACTTTCTCTCCTTTATAGCTCTAAGTAAGACTTTTCTTTTTGCTATCTCTCCTAATCCCTGTTCTACCAACCATTTACACAAGCTCATTAGGTTGTTTGTTTGCTGCTTTCCACTGTTCTTCTTACCTTCATTATGTTCTGTGAGCATCAAATTTTCCAAGCCTTCTTTCCTCATTATGTGCCCTAGAAATTTCAATTCTCTCTTTCTATTGGGTTGGTGCATAATTATCAGGTTTTTTTTAAACAATATTTATTGTGAAAAAAGAAACATAACAATTCAACAATAACATTTTTAAATGATTATTCTGGAGCATATGATTATCAACATGCATTTTTGTAACCTGAAAATAAAATATCTTTATTATAAAAAGTAAACAAAATAGCAATTTTTCTTAACAAATAACTTGCCTATAAAAATGCCTGATAATTATGCACCAACCCAATAGCTGTCCTTTCTGTTTCCATTTTGCTTTAGACTTTGTTGTTGCTCACACATTTAGTTCACAGTATTCTCAGTATCCTTCTGTAGAACCATATTCCTGTTGCTTCAAGTCACTTATGTGTTACTACAATTGAATCTGTTGCAATCAAAGAATAGGCGTTGATTTCTGACTATGGCAATTTTAGCATTTGAACATTTTTTATGTTTCTATTATCTAGCCATGTCAGTATGGGGGTGTGGGTGAGCTAACATTTAACTGCCTATGAAAAAAACTAGCAGACTGAGTTCAAACTCTAGTCAGTACATAGTTATTAGGTAAATGAGAGTCAGAGCCCTTTACCCTTGTAAGGCATTCCATCTTGGGTATTCAATTATAGTTAAGGTCAGAGATCATTACTTGCTGCTGGTACCATGTAACTCAATAAAATTGTCACATATTACTTGGAGAGGAGAAACAGTAAACTAAATAAGAATAAATAGCAGAGCAGGATTTTTTGAGTTGTTTTTTATGGTTTATCAACCCATTGCAGGTTATTTAAAGCCAGAAAATATTTTTAGACTTTAAGAATTTTTGGGAAGTAATAATAATTTACTGATACAAGTCCTAATAATTAACCAATAGCTGGAGGGAATAAAGGTGGATTCATGCCTTTCCAAGTGGATTTGTGCATAAGTGAATATAACAAACCTGACTGGAATTGGAACTCAGCTAATTGATTTCCAATTCCAAGCCATTATACCACCTTCACATCCAAGCTTACAGCATCTGGTATTTCCAAATGGTCACCCAGCTAAGTACTGACCAGGCATAAAGTTGCTTAACTCTCGCGATCATACAAGAACCAGTGTTTTAATTTGAAGTGGTTGTAAGCTGGCAGAATAGGAACAAAGAGTGATGGGAAAGAGTCAAACATTGCTTAGAGCGAGAAGGGATAGGAAGTTGTGGAGAGACATGTTTGCCTATGTCCTGAAGAGACATGGCATATCAAAGAAGAAAGGGCATTGTTTTTTTCTTGATGAACAAAAATATATCACAAGAAAAGTTTCTACAATTTACAATTGTCATGAATCCTGTATAAATTATTGTTATGGAAGAATTATTTCTATGACGTCTGTTTACTTTGTATCTTTATGTTTACTAAACAATGAATAATTTCTACTGTAGATGATTGTCTTTGAAAAGCAGAGAAATGCTAAAATAATAAGAAATGCTCTTAGACATTTTAGATCACCAATAAGATACAGAAAAAATTTGTCAGAAACAAAGAAGAGACTTGAAGCAACAGAAATGTGGTTCTACAGAAGGATGCTGAGGATAGAATGGACTGAATATTTGAGTGATGGTAAAATTTTAGAGAAAATGGAAAAAGTAAACTTATACTTGACATCAGGAAGAGACAGTTGAGATTTCTAGGGCACATAATAAGGAAAGAGGATTTGGAAAATTTAATACTCACAAGGCAAGAGGGAGAGAGGAAAACAATGCATCAGTAAATGGAGGGTGGAACATGTTTTAGGAGAAATAACAAAAAGACAAAATTTATTTAGAGCTATAAAGGACAGAAAATTGTGGAGAGCTGTGATCGTCTACATCCTGAGGGGATGCAGTACACAAAGAAGAAGATATCTATACTTGAGTGAAAGTAGGTCAGAGAGACAACCAAAATCAAATACCGAAAAATTCATTTTTGTTTTATTTCCTCTCAGTTCCTTATCATTTAATGAGATTGTTTTGATAAGATTCACTATGTTGCCAGATTAAATGATGATTCAAAATATATCTTTCTAATTTTATCTCGTGTCATCAAAATCAAAGATAAAGTGAGGTTCATGTTGAAATGTAAAACATGTTACTGATATTTAAGACGGGTGCCAAAGTAATAGAAAGTAGATGTTAAATTGAGGGAGGCTAAATTATTATTAAGTTTTTAAGATTTTTGATTTTATATTTTGTTATATGATTCTCTCATAAAATAGACGTTTATTTTTATTTACACTATTTACATTCTTCATGATGTGCCTTTGGATATCTCAATTTTAGTTAATTCCCCTTGGTAACTCAACTCTCCAACTTTTTTTTCTCTTTGCTGTGGCCAGGGATTGAACTCACAACTCTTTAGGTCATGTCACCTTTGGATCAATCAACCAATACTTTTAACCACTGGGCCATAGGGAATTAGAACAATCCACTCCTAAATAAAGGGTTTGGTTTGAAATCCCAACAAATATCACCTGAAGAAGGCTGGAGTGTACAACAGCCGAAATGTTGTAAATATGGTAATAAAAATGAGAACAACAGTATGAATAGTGTAAATAGTTACAATAACTTAACTCAGAAATACAGACAAATATTCTTTTGTTTTGATTTTAAATACACAATTTTCTTTTTCTTTTGGCTTGTATTTATTTTCTGGAATTATACTTTTGTATATAAGACTTATACAAAAGTTTGAGAAGCTAATGTTTTGAAAAAAGAAAAGAAAATTAATTTTTTAGATTTATTCTTGAAATTAATAGCATTAATGATTTTAGGCAAATGCTACAGCTGAGCTCAACAACAGAATGAGGACAAATTTAGATGGATTCTAATGGGAAAAATTATCTGGCAGGACCCAGATAACCAACTTTCCTAGCAGTAGACCAAGCAATTGATTCAATATAGTTGCTCTATATGGCATGCAGCAATAAACGACATGATCAAAAGAGGTTTGGATGCAGCTGGGTTCCCTTCCCAAATCGAACCCGTAGGCCTCGATCGTGGTGATGGAAAGCGGCCGGATGGCATTATCATTTTCTCTTTTAAAATGGGTAAGTCATTGATTTGGGATGTGACCTGTGTGGATACATTTTCGGCCGGTAATTTGATCAGGTCCTCGGTTGAGCTGGGGTCTGTCGCCCGGGATGCAGAGATGATAAAAATAGTTAAATATTCTTCTCTTGCTGATAGATTTTTTTTTTACTCCTGTGGCAGTGGAGACTGCAGGGGTTATTGGCCCTCACTCAATGGCGTTTCTTTGGAGGATTGGCGCGATTGCATCTCGATTAAGGTGTAGAGTATTGGTCTCCTGGCATTTAGTATCAGCAATACTGATGGCAAGCAGAAAAGGTTCTCTGTGGTAATTTAATGAAAGCAGTTCTAGAAGGAGGGTATAAAATATACTAACTGTAACTTTGCTTTAAGTATAGGCATGATCAGTGTTTATTTTGAGATATAAACATAGACACAACCAATTTTTTACTTGTAGACTTAAGTATAAACTTAACCATTGCTTACCTGTAGATTCAAGTATAAACATGAAAAATGACACTGTATTTATGAAAAAGACCCCTCTTCTAAAATTCTGACAAAAGCTGTAACTTGAAGATCTAATAAATGCTAACCTAAAAAAAATATTTCCCCCTCAAATTTTTACAAGTGAAACAGTCAACCTCAGTAGTATCACTATATGTATTTTAATTTTCCTTTGTCAGGAAACCTGGTAATGAGAGTGTTGAATTTGTGCCTATCTAAAAGCCATTAGGTCAGAATGTACAAATGAAGCCTCAAGCAGGATTTGAACCCAGGTATCAATTCCATCATCATAATTCTAACTCCACCTTAAATATTTGCTTGTTGATCTATTCACATAATTAAACAACGACATGTTGTCTAACGGATTTGCCTGTCAGTAATTCAGAAAACAAGGCCATTTTCAGAAACAATGTAACCATTTAAGACCTGGCCACCAAACTATTGTTTTTATACTCTGTATTCATTGACCGATTCTTCAATGCCAAACGGAAAGTAGCCACTGTCCATCTTAGATAAACAGAACCATGAGAAACACTACAAACATTGTGAACAATGCTGCTGTTATTTCAACTTTCCTCCACTGCCATCTATAACAGCTTCTGGAGCAGCTAGATAAGGCATTCCTCATTCATTCTTACAAGTACTGTTTCAATATTAGTTGACGCACAAATTCTGTCCATTTTGACAGAGTAGAATTGCCAAGCAGGCACAAACGGTTTCTATTTGGCAATTTCTCAAAAGGCTCTTGTCTTCAGCTTCCATTTGTTACTTCAAGTAATGGCCGTGTGTAGCCTGCAGGAAAGGAAAAAGTGGAAGGAAACAAATTGTACGATGCAGGATATTCTGTTCTGATTATGATATCAATACCAGAATAGAGAAAGATGATTTAATGTGGGAAGAATCCATCGGAAAATCAAGAGGAGATTTTCAGTACAAATTATTCTCTCTCTCTCTCTATATATATATATATATATATAGAGAGAGAGAGAGAGATAGATAGATAGATACGGTTCACTCCAAAAGTATTTCATACTAGGTTATGATACCAGAGGCATATTTTGGTAGTATTGCAATAAAAATTGAACCTTTCTACAAATACCCCATGTTTTAGGGGAGTTTTTTTTTTCCTTTTTACAGATAGCAGCTAAGCAACAGTCTGACAAAATATCATTTGACGTGAAAGCATGTAAAAAGCAGAAACATGTCGCTGAATTCCCCCCACATAGAAAATGGCAATGGTAATATTAACTGTTTACTTATAAGGAAACATTTAGCATTCACTGACTGAGCAGCCAGTGCTACTTTTGGTTGAAATTTGTAAAATATTTGTAATAAAACAATTTCTCAGGAAAACATGTTTCCAGAGTCCAGTAATTGTTATCAATATTTCCAGTATTGAAAGGGCTTCCTTTCAAATGTTTTGTTTGAAGTAGTCTGGAATGTCAAAATCTTGATTATGTTGATTTTTTTTTCATGTTGCTGCTGTTTAAATTACTCAATTGATGTGGTCTCTTATTTGGTACAGTTCTTTGTGATTCTGTTGTACCAGTTCACAAGATTCAAAGAAGGATCATCATTGCTAAGACTAACATGCTACACTTGCTCAAAGACATTTTTAACCATTGATGTGAGAAAGCAGTTGTATATAGCTGACAGTTTAAATATTTCTGATGCACGTCATCAATATGAAAGTCTTGATCTGATGAGGCTATTTAAGAACATAACTTGAGATTTTAGGTGAATATTTTAGTTTTGTAGCAATTTGCTGTATTGGGCAAAACTACTCTTCATGTATTTCTGTGTTGAATTTTCTTATCTTCTTAACATTGACAATTGCTGAATGTTTACAGAGACCAAACACATAAACTTCATGAGAAACAAAGAAGAGACTTGAAGCACTTGGTTCTACAGAAGGATGCTGAGGATACCACAGACTGGATATGTGAGCAACAATAAGGTTTTAGAGAAAATGGAAACAAAAGAGAAACTTATACTTAACATCAGGAAAAGACAGTTGAAATTTCTAGGGCACATAATTAGAAAAGAAGGCTTGGGAAATCTGATATTCACAGTACACATTGAAGGCAAAAGGGACAGAGGAAAGCAACACATAACATACTTAGTGAGCTTGAGTAAATGGATGGCAAGAAATAACAAAAAGACAATGTATTAAAAGTCCACGAAGGACAGGATGCTGTGGAGAGCTATGATCGCCTATTTCCAGAGTAGACAGAGCACATAATGAAGAAGAAGGCTGGTAGATGTTTAAAGGACAGAACTGTCTCCCTATAACATTCATAGTAATAAGTTCTCAATATAATGGATTGAATATGCATTTAGTCATCAACCGTATTGCTGTAGGTTGTTCAGTTACTACTCTGAGAAAAAGCAATTGTAAATCTGTTAATGCTGAAATTTATTAGTGATTTATCTATGTTTGTTTTAGTAAATATAGAGAAACTAGTATTACTAAATTATTTATATTATTACTATATTATTATTAGATTATTGATATTATTACTTTACTATTACTATTATTACTAGATATTATTAGTATTATTAGTATTATTACTAAATTTTGACTCATTACTCTTTCATTTTCTTTTCCTGATTTTTATTGGAATGTTCATGTTATTTTTACATTCAAGGACTAGCAATAACAAGTAAGAGTCTGTTAATATCCATGTTACTTCTTAGTCATAGAATTTAAAATATGACTTGGTATCTAAATCATAAAAAAATGACCTGGGTATCTATAAAAAGTATAAAAAAGAATAACAATGAGTAACAATGCTTCATATAAGAAAATAAAAAAAAAAACTTAAGACTATTACATTTACTTTCTGTGAGGTGTTGAAAAACAATATGGCGTTGAGCAAAATTGGATGAGGAAGAAAATAACTGTAATTAAATTTGAATGGTGTCTGCTGGTTAGCTTTCATGGCTTAATTGGATAACATGCTTTTCTAATCATAATGCATTCCTAAGAGTAAGGGATGTGGGTTCGAATCTCTCTGAAAGCTTATTCTTTATTTTTTTATCCATGCTGCTTATTTAATAGCAGTAGAATATAAAAATGGGTTGAACATTGTGATAAAAGCAACAAAATTATGACAGAATTAAAGCCAATCAAAATTTAATCATAAAAATAATGCTTCATTCAGACAGATCATTGGCTGTTACTGAAATCTTTTTTTTTTTTAAATGGAGGCCAATGATAAAAAGCCAGACAAAATTTAGGAAGAAAGAAAAATATGTATGCAAGTAAGAAAAGTAAGTGTTTATTACCTCAGGCACAGTGCAGGTAATATTCCTTTTGTTGATTACATTTGCCCTGAGTTCAATTTGATTGGAACCATATTCAAAATGACATTGGTACTTGCGGAATTCTGTCTGTGAAAGAAAACAAAAGATAGAGAATACAAATATAAAATGA